TATTATAATTACACTGTGCGGTTTAGTCGCAATATTGTGTGTGTAATGAAAGCTTGTTTCACATATCATGATTGTGTTGACATTTATACATCATTGATGAGACAATAAAACACGTACTAATCCACTAAATCCACTTTTTCATATAATCCACCGCTTTCCTACTTTGTGTTAAGACCATTCTACTTTACTATGTTGTCATATATCATTTACAAACAATAATCGGTCTCAGAACATTGTATTACGTAATGATGTCATATCACATATGGCACCACTTTCACTAAACATTGGCATTAATGATATTACCCTTTGACATAAAGAAATTATGGTAAGGAAAATGAAATAGAACAGGTAATTACTCTGTAATCCAACAATATTCCCAAACTAAACGATCAATCGACATGTCAATGCTTTTTTTAATAATGGATGATTTATACAAAGTTAATTTTCCCATCATATATTCAATTCTAGCTTACTTGGGTTTCAGGGCATATTTCGATTTTTCTATTTTATTTATTGCTGTAGATAGACAATTGATTATTTTTATTTGAACCAACAGTAGTTTTATTTAGTAAATAATTATATATTTCTCTTTAACATTCAAAACAAGATTAAATACAAATAGGCAATAAACAAGTGTGTAGGAAATATATCATACATGCAATGTGCGGTACATGTGCAAATACATTTATTCATTTTAGAAAATATTACGTCTTCGATAACCATTGCACATATTTCGTATATATGCAAATGAATGATTTACCCGAATATGGTGTGTGCTATCCCATCATATTATGATTTCGTCAATGTCATACACGATTCTTGATAAGCATTGCGAAACACGCCTTAAACCACTCTCAAAACCTTCAAGCTTATACTATTTCTCCATTTAGTATTCATATAACAATCCAATAACCCACTGTGAGTTTAGGCCACTGTGAAATCCAATATAAATCAAAGTATTAACTTCAAACAATATTGCCTATGAAACATTCATTCTTGTTTGGATCTTCATCAGTACTTACTTAACCATTATCGCCTATACTTTCTCATTTTCTTCAAAATAAAGAATGCACATTAATGTCTAGATCTGATACCCTTTTGGCTGAGCTAATTGAAATAATAATACTACAATATTCGATTCACCAATACATTAATGCTCACTTATATTCCGTTGCTATAAATAACGTTTCTCAATATTGAATGTATTTTACATTTCAATTATGGACGATTGATATACTGACTATTTTATGGATGTAATGTATATTTTTCTCGCTTTGGGGTTTGGGGGTATTTTGTAACTTTTGATGATTGTTTTCTTAATGACATTAGCGCTTTTTTGATTCGCGTGTTTAATTGTTCTACAAAAAGATTTATAGTGCACATAAATGGGTTTAGGTATTTATCATGTAAAACAACAATCCATTTATCGTTATTCTCGGGAGCGGACATCCGGGCATTTTCACCGCCTGTCAACCACAACCAATGGAAACAACAGGCAAAAACCCTCCAAAATTGTGTTTGTTATATTTGATTTGTCAGAGTAGCGAGACTATCCCTTCATGTCCAACATATATAAATTTGGTTGTTGAATTTTGTGATGTTTTCTCGACTTTAGGAGTTCCATCGGCTTTTCGACCGGCATTCCTCAACAAAACGCACAGAGCTCATAGAAATACATGGTGCAATGGTGCAACATAGAACGTTCTGCGACGTAGCTCCGTGCCTGAGAATAGTAAAAAACTTACGTTGGTTTCCACATCGTCCATGCATTTAGTTAGCTACAAATGTGTCAAAGAGTGTTGTGGTACTGCCACCAGGCGTGACGTAGTGTCATACATTATTTGTTTGGGAGTGTTTAGTTATTTGTTTTAAATTAACATTAATTATGTATTACTATGCATAATTATTTGTGTGACCTAGCAACCAATCACGACCATCACAGGAGAAGAAAATAGTATACAATCAGTGGCCAGGGACCATGCCCCTCAAACGCATGACGATTCATATCATCTGGATTACGCATAGCTTCTCTGCGATTTACGCTCCGTATATTTTAAGCGAAGCTTGGACCCCCCCCCCAATACATGTTGCTGGATCCGCCAGTGTATACAATGCTAAATAACGCGTATCACTTCAACCTTATTTCACCCAAACTATAAATTCGATACAAAGCTAGTTTTACTTCGTATGTCTATATGAAGTGCGTTACAAATAGGAATATAGTTATACCGATTTTGTCCATCCTGCCATGCTCACGACATGACGCCTATAATCAATGGAGACGCGATATTCGCTGCATATAATACAAATAGGCTTACATCACATGTCAACAGTGAGGAATTACTCAACATTGATTCAGCAGACCAGAACACTGCGTTGATTGGTTCAAGTAAATTAGTTAACTAAAAAAATCATAAACTGCAAAAGTAAATCACGTTTCCTCGGAAAAGCATGACTGCACCGCTGATACCAATGACGACAGATACGCGGAAGATGTTATATTACCAAGCACTAACATGCAGCAAATAATTAATTAGACCACGTGCGTAAGTGAATGTGTTTCCATCACTGGAGTGGTTGCGAACCAGTCAATATATAGCATGATATCAGCAAATATATGTGCGCTAGACCTTTCCAGGGAATTAATGAAAGAAGCCTAAGTGAGACTATTTAGTAGTCTCTTGTTTTATCATTCTGTCAACACTCTTAGTATTTATTGCTTATCATCATGTTAGATTACTGTGATAAGAGAAGCATGTTTTCACAATGAAGTCTTTAGAATATCCTATATTTCAGTATTCATAGTGGCCATATCAGATGTTAAAAACAAAGTGCACATGATGTGCCTTAAGTTAAATATCTTATACTGCTGTTCACAAAACTATTGGATTTAATGGTGAACAACACTTCCTTCGGTTATCTATGCTGAACAATGCATGTGTATTTATAAGATTAGTATTCCACGTTGTCACAAAATATTAAGAGCATTCTGATGGTTAATAATTATTGTTTATGTTTTAATACTTCAACATGGATTCCTATGGACATAGTTCCAAATTGTTGCCCTTTTCAGATATTTTTTTTACAAATAAAAAAATATTATGACCAGTATCCCATTCAATATTTATTAGCTTTTTGGAATACAAAACAATTATACATTTTTACCTCTATTTTATAAGTTGGATGCCTACGAACGACCTGAATCGTACTTTGCTTGTTTTAAGCTTAAAATCTAGATGTACTTGTACTAACAATAAATAACACTATGACCAGTCTCAGCCCTTTACTTAATTTGGCTAATGTATTCTACAAATTCCTTGGGATTAACTAGTTTTGCTTTTTCATCTTTTTGTACAGAAGCATGGTGGACAATGTTATATTAAAAATTGTTTTTACTGTGCGTTCTATAAACACATTACAATCAGTTCGACCACTGATTCACTGACAGGGCCATAACACTACATTATGCGGGTTCACGCTTGTCTATTTCATAGTGTCCCGTCAGTGGTCAGGTGACCCAGGATTATGAATTGCTGTGTAATATGTTGACTGTTCCTCGCAACAAATCAACATGGACCTCTATACTAGCTTAAGACGTCATACCCTTCATATTACTCTGTAAAATCAGATAAATATCGAATTAGGTAACTCAAAAGCAAAACAGTTATAACTAGAACGCACTCAGAGGGCGCAAACATCCTACACATCTGCAACTACTAATCCTTAATGTACTGTATTATGCCTTCTTATGACAACATACCTTTACCATATGGACACAAACTTCAGTTACTTTATGGACATAATAAACAAACTGAGTTTTTGAGGAGATAGATTATATTTAGTCTTGAAACAGGTAACTTTTAAATCATGCATCGGGATGAGCGATCCGATCGCTTGATATAAACCTGATGTGTGATACAATACACACATTTTGTTGATCACTTTGTCATTTGGCAAATACCATTGCCAATTTGGAATTACAATTTATCTTCTATTTGTATTCTATCTTCGCGTACTATTTGGACATTTCCGTTTTATATTTTTTAGCAATCAGATAAATATAATGCAATTATAATATAATATAATGCAAATGTGTCATCGAGTTAGCAATGTTTTTGTATTTCTATACAACAGATTGGTTAATTAAATATGTCATTTAGTCAAAACCTGCATTATAAATGTGTTTGTATGAATTCTTACGTATTTTGGAATCCAGTCCAAATAAGAAATTATATATTCTTCAAGCAGGAGTAATTTGTGTTTTTAGAACTTCTTATTTACACATCGAAGTAAACATAGATCCAAGGTTTCCCTTCGCAGAATTAAGTTCAAGCTCGCCTATGAGGAAGTTACAGTAGTGTTTCTTACATGTAAGCATTGTAATGCCAGACGTTTTATCTGCCGGCACGACAACATATTTGTTGTGAATAGTGGACAGTTAGTGGACATAGCCCAGGATAATTTTAAAAGAAATAGCATTTAACTATACATTTTATATACATATTATACCACCGTTAACACATCGTCTGATTGGCACGCTTTCGCTGAAGCCGACCATCCATGGCCGTTCCTATGAGCCCGTGCGTGATCATGTTAGGAAAAGCTCAGTTAAATTAAATGATTTGATTGGGCGTGGCAAGGATCTGGATCCGACAATCAGCGTTCCTGTAACAACAATTCGCACAATTTCAAATTTAAACCAATCAATTGTACCATCTTACATCACGGCATGCTTGACTGACAAAAACATGCGACTTTATGGATACCCGTCAAAACGCTTGATTTCGTGTTATATTTACCATGGAAACACACCAGAACACGAGCCGCTGTGTTTAATTTCGTCGGCAGTAAATACAGGTTTATAGTGCGAAATCTGCCATGGTATAATGGTGGGGCGACGGCCGAATATATGCACCCTGGCTGGCGAAGATGACGTAAACACAACAACGTTTTGAATATTGTAAGTGTGTCTCGTCTTAGAATTACACATGAGATCATCGTTTAATCGCATTTCGTGATTTATTTCTCTATGAATTACTCTCCCATAATACTAAATAAGATGGTAATAATAAAACAATATTTCGATGGTTTGAAAATATTCTTAATGAGGATGAAGAGAATATTAATAAGACACGTGTAAATTCCCTCCTGTTATATATTTGTTATTGCTTCGTCGCGTGTTGTTATATATGGTCCTCATTGTTCAATATCTTCCAAGGCACGAAGAAGTTCTTTCAGTTCCTCCTCTGTGAAGATTAAAAGTAAAATTATACATTACTACGATTAATAATTATTTCGTAGTCGTACCCTCTAGTGGCGATGTAAGTCTGTGGCAAGGCGTAGATAATTAAAAGAATGTCGACAATATGAGTGTTTCTGTAATCAATATGCTTTTGCGATAGGACAATAGTCATGTGTTTTTAAAGTTGGTCATAATTGACAATATTCATTGCTTAAAGTTGTATAATAATTGGGCAACAGGTCCAGGGTATTGAATATGAACTGCATTTCGTTTTGTTACAGTGTCGTAAAACTTACATAGACTGGGAGAACAATTAGTTGCAAAATTAGTTGGTCGAAATGTAAATAAATTTACTGAAAAAAGTGAGAAAAAAACCTACCCTCAAACTCGTCGATATTTTTTCCTTGAATAACTACAGCTGCAAAGAGAATACATTGAAAATGTGAAATGTAACGTGACAAATACATTTTGTTCTCAGTATTAAAAGTTATTCATTATATAAACTTACTTTTGACACAATAACCATCGCCATGTTGATTTTCAAGACAAGTCTCATCTTCCGGACACTGGTGGCGATAACACCCAAATCCTAACAAAATAATTCATAGCAGAATCAAAAAATAATTCATAGCAGAATCAGCGCGAGGTGCGCCCTCTGTTGGCAGCTAAATATTGATTACGGACGGAGAAGGGCCGTTTCAGACTCTGACGCAGTGATGTAACGAGTAAGCACAAACGGTTGTAACATTACAAATGAAGCAGTCAGTTATACAGTTTTAGTGAGAATAAATTCATAGCAACACCGACCCTCGATCATTTTCACCAAGAAAGGTACACTACAGTTAAAGCACCACTTGGTCACCAATGTCGCCAAAAACAAAATCAAATCTTACTTTTGAAAAGATCCTTGAGTCTTCTGGCTAACGGTATATCATCTACAAACAAATAACACACATTTATATTGATTACTATTCGATTATCTTTTCATTGCGCACGTGACATATACTATCCAGACGGTATTTCCAAAATTACAAAATACGGAGACAGAATACAATGATAATCATTATAGCAAAATCGTATGGGAAGTATGGACAGATTAAGTTTTTTTCAGAACAAGTTTTAGTTTGTACAAATGTCTTGTATTATTATTGCAATGACTTAAACTCTACGGTCAAATAAAATAAACTATTAATAATACAGAAAATATGGCTGATATTAACTAAAATTTATCTATCATTTACTCGAAAAATAAGCAAGTGACCGAAACTTTTTCAAGCTTACATTGGCCGGGAGTACAATTTATTGCAAAATTATAAAGTTTTTTTTTAGTTTTTTTTTTTTTTAATTGCCATCATTGGTTGTAATGTGAATAGTTTACGAAAAATTCAATGTTGAAAAAGGTGAGAAAAACTTACTCTCAAACTCATCTATATTTTTTCCTTGAATAACTGCAGCTGTAAAGAGAATAAATTGAGAATGTAAAATGTCACGTGATAAATAAGTGTTATTTTCAGTATTAAAATTTATTCATCATATGAACTCACTTTTTACACAATAACCATCGCCATGTTGATTTTCCAGACAAGTCTCATCTTCCGGACACTGGTGGCGGTAACACCCAAATCCTAACAAAATAATGCATAGCAAAATCAATCTCGAGTTAGTAAATTAGCACGTGAGCGCCCTCTGTCGACAGCCAAATAGAATACGAAGAAGAGCCGGTTTCGACTCTGCTGGCGCACACAATACTAAGCAGGCGTACAAGTAATAATCAAATAAATACGATTAATCAACCAATATTTATGTGGGCATCCATCTTGAATTCTACTTGAAACTGAATAAAGAGACAAGTTTAGAAACGAGTTTTTCGAATTCATATAAATCAGGTACAAAATAACAAACTTTCACAGCCCAATGATCTGTTGGGGTTTCATTAAATTAGACTGAGTTCATCGTTTTGGGTGGAAAAATCCCTTGCATACGAACACCTCATTACAAAAAATATTGTGTTAAACCATCAACATCATAAGATATTGGCGTATTTCGTAATACTCAGCCATGATGTCAAAAGTTCAATCTATTTGCATGAAACAATCAGATAGCCAGGTTTGTTATTGTACAGTATGGTGATATATACACTACTCGTTACACTGAACTGCTATGCCATATTTGGGATAAAATAATGTATTACACTCAATGTACAGTGCGTTTACTCACTGGTACAACATCAACAAGAAGGCTGATAGTCAGTAAAGTCGAAGTCATCCTACAACAGTGGTTGTCGTTTATATAAAACAAGAAAAAAAAAATCTTACTTTTGAAGACTTCCTTAGATCTGCCGACTTCCGCTATCTCATCTATCAATAACCAGACATATATGTAAATTATTTTATTACATTATATTAACATCTGACATGTGACATAAATGTATTAGGCGGGAGGGTCGTCACCTGCGCACGCGCGGGAATTGAGTCCCAAGCGACGATAACAACACACTCTAAAAACGCAAAGGCTCATGGGTAGACGCAAGTTTCTAAACAATGACACGCTATGGCCATCTGACGCATGCGCAGGTGACGACTCCCCCGCTTTAACCTCCCCGTTTGTTAACAAATAAAACAAAATAATAATAATAATATATTATCATCTGTGTGATTATAATTACTGTGTTCTAATGAGCACGCTGGTTTGAAACAAAGTGTCTGCACCTCCCCACTGCACACTTAGCATTACGCGCGTTCGTATACATACGAACTGTGTGGTTTCCCCGTCCCTACTGTGTAGTTTGGGTCGTTGACATTGACATGACGTCACAGTAACATCCCGGTGTGCACGCATGTGTTGCAACAAGTCCCAAACTTTTGAATTTGAATTGAAAACAAAATCAGCTTTTCATTGTAAAAGCTCATACATTGGGTTGCATAGCAACATTCAAAATTGCCTTGTAATGTTGAGTTGTTCAATGGCGACACAAACAACTAATACATATTGGCCTTCCCCGTCCCCGCTGTTTAGTTTGGAGCGTTGACGCTGACATGACGTAGTCACGCCCATGTGTATTTATAACTCGATAATAGCTGAACCGTGAAAATAGGCAATGACGTTGAAATGAATGTACGGCGAGCACCAAGAATAAGAAGTATTGACTTACGTTTATATTGTCGGCTACTGAGTATATTCATTAAAGTTTTACGGAAGTCAGTTTCTGTCGACGAGTTGACCATAACACAGCATACAATAACAACACACATTAGTTCTCGTTTCATTGTGAATCTGAAATTCAAAATTATTGAAATATTGTTCAAATCAATATTTTGGAAAAGTTTCCCCACATTCCAGTGTAAAAAAATATTGTTTTTTTAATGTTTTAAACCGAGTGCTAGAATGAACCGCTCTGCCATGTCGTTTGAAACTCGGTTTAGACCTCGTTATTCCCCACTCACTTACGCGTTTATTCCATCTTTTCAACTCAGCCATTATTTCGGTTGTTATCAGATTCACCCCACCCAACGCCTCCAATCATAACGACGGACAGAAAAACACATTAAAAAAAACAGCACCATTGTGTGGATTTATTTTCACCGCCCTGTGGCTAATTTCATTGTGTATATAGCTGACATGCCAAAATTCCACCATATACCCTAACAGGGTTCAGTCAAATGGAAGTAATGGCAGATTTAAAGAGACCATTTCTATCTGCCATATGAAAACATTACTGTTTTATGGCTTAAAAAGTACGTTGCCGTTATTGATCATCGAGCCAGAGATCGGCAATTCATTAGTTTGCTACTTGATTCAGTGATTTAACCTCCGTGTCAGTGATCAGTGATTTATGGTACATTGAATTAAATATCGGGTCAGTGTAAGCACCATGGTTCATTGCAGGAGCGTGAATGAATGGTGATTTTCAAACAGTGCCCAATACTTGATATATTTTGGCGGTTTTATATTCTAAGCCAGTTGAATGACTGTCGAATTTTAGACATGCGTATCTATGCCTTTCTCACCCGTGTTCTTGTCGTCGGGTTTGAATTAAAAGGTTTCAACTCGACTTCCCAGTGAAGTCTTTTTAAAAAAAAAAAAAAAATACAGTTCTAAATGCACATGCCGAGACATACCCAAATCACTCCTCTAGGTGACAACAATGAAAAAATATAAAATTTAACCAGACTCTACATAAAGGAATCAATTAAAGCGGGCACAAACATATAAATAGTTTTTGTGGAAGAGAATCATTTTATGGGGTGTGTCGTGCAAAACTACATGAAGCGCTCGCTCATAAATTGCTGCTAATGAAACGGAATGCCAACTACAGTAACATTCGTTTACTAATAGAGCATGTCAGTTTCACACGTAGTGTGTAAATATACGCCGGGCAGTACAGCCTGAACGTACCAGAAAAAGCCTCAGCTCTGCCATGCTAAAACATTGCATAACTAGTAGAGTATATACGTGTTTTGAATATTTCATGCACTAATTGGTGGTGTGTGTCCGATATTATCTTGCCACATACTTACACGCCTCATAACCATGGCACTTGGCTGGTCAAGGGATTAGGCGTGTGGTATATTTTTCAAAGTTCGCATGTCCGCAAAGAAGGTACTTTTTTAAAGAAAAATTGTCTTGACAGCGCAAGACTTTGCTTTTTTTGAAATTCCAACTGTGCCAAACAAATCAATTGCATTTTAACAGCACAAAAAGAACATCTGACCTTTATCAAAAAGGGGGTGTTAAATTATATTTATTTTTATTTATGCATAGTAATTATGCACATTTTATACGATGGCCACCGAAGCAACGGATTATACTAACTTGAACAACCTGGAATGGTGCGATGTGAATGGCGGGGAAACCCTGGGTAGAGTAACAATACCAGAAAAAACAAAACATAAAACTCTTCGAGTTATTACAAATATTACGCATTTGAACAAAGCAGAAGTTGATCGGTTTACTTCGTGGTAGAACTGACATTCACTATCTGCTATATGTTTTTGGAGAAGCTTACCTTAGTTTTTCTCTTCACTTCAATATTTGGAAAACGCCAAACAAGGTGCTCTTCGAACTGATCTATTGAACCAATAACAGCGGTGAGTGCACGTCCCACTACAGAATAACGATTTGGTAAACTAGCTAGGCTATATACTTCCATATTCAAAGTGGGCGTAGCGGGTTATGCTAACCATTTGTATTTGTGTACTGTGTTCGCCACACCTTCAGTAATTGCAAACTATGTTGCACGTACCCACTTAAGAACCCGCTATTAACAAACGTAACAGAATTGCTACCGTATGAAAAGTTGTTTATTTAAGACAATATTTGGACTGTAAACAGACCGCCAAATGACAAACTGATAATGGCTGAACTACTATTACTTTGAAGCTTAGAAAGTGAATTGATGACAAAGAGAATACACTACACTGTAGGTGAAGATGAACTCTAGGGACATAGTGACCTTGTAACGTATTGTATCGTATATATGTAAATATGGTACTTGATCTGAATGTCGCTCATAATTTCATTGAAAGCGTTGTCTTGCTCTATTAACCGAGCACAATCACAATGAAAACCCAAAGCATTGGAAATCATTCGAATGGCATGATGTATGGAGCACGAAATCCACAAAGACGAATATAACAAAGTTTCTAAAATTGTCATTGAGATGCCACGACAGGTTTGGGGGTATTTGTATCAATCATACACAGCCACGCCATACATACTTTAAATACTTTAAAACACGTTGTGAGAGCTACATGCCATTTTAGCGAATTTGACTCAATACATGAATTAACTGAATCTTAATTTAGCTAAAATGCCAACAATCTCATTGTGAGAATATACTTTATTCTAAATTAGCGATATCTTGAATATTAGCGCAATTACAGGTTAGCTAAATCAGTTAAAATGACATGCTAGCTAAAAAAGATGTGTTTTATACAGTACGTTACTGTGTGAAACGTGTTGAAAATTATGTACACACTAAGTTGATTGATTGACTGAGTGGGAAAACATGCTGTCAAGGCCGAGCATTTTCTATTTAACGTCGATCCACTGGTCCCCTGGGGGCAGGCACCAGATGACCGGTTTGGTTACATTTCATTAGCAAGTTGAGCGTAAAGTAACGACGTGTTTTGTTTTGTTTTTCTATTCAAGCAGATATAAAAAGTGGCGATGACAGCCAAGTATAACACTCATGACATCCATTATAGTCAATGTGGATACACCGTGAATATATGTAGACCCTTGTACTTAATTCTCTTCTCTTCGTTGTAAAATCAATGATTTAAAAGTCGGTGATTCGTCGCGCAGCACGGGTTTCAATGTCAGTCATGTAAACAAATGCATTTTTTATACGTCGCTACGGATCTTGCGTAAAGTGGGAAAGACACGGGTCGAACGTCTCCCGCAAAAAATCTTGATTTTGAAATGGAATTTCTTTCTTTATAGCTCAATATCAAAATGCCGATCTTTGAGAGGGCAATATTACGTTGAGATATCCTCATTTCATCGAAATTTACCATCCTTAAATTACATGCGGAAATAAACCTAAAATTTCACGTATAACCCAGGTGAACAGAAAATGGTCTAATGGCGGGGGGTGAGCTTTGATAGCTAGCCACAGAGATAAACACTGAAGTTAGAGAGAGGATCAACTAGGAGGAGGACTACCACATCACCACCTAAGACATTGCGAGAGGGAAAAGTGCATAATATTGGTTTACCCCTTAAAGTGCTTTCAGGAATACCTTTTCCAACATGTTCGGTTTATGATCAAGTCGCACCTGGAATGTTACACTCAAGATTGTTTTTCTTTCTTAATTATATTATTTGAGACTAATTTAGATTGATTACAGAGAATACGTAGTGTCTGCATATCTGGATGATTTCTGTATGAGTGTTGTACCTATGTAATGCATTATCACGCTTTCCCATATATGTTATGCAACATCCATGATTGACTTTATCAATGTGTAAGAAACAACAAATGGAAGAGCAATGTGTACGTACGTCATAATATTAGCACGGACTGACGAACGATAGTATTGACATCCGCCAGGACTCATGATTTGAGTTAAAAATTGATTATAACTCGTGGAAGACCAAAAGTCCAAGTTACCGAATGAGAACTAAAGAAACCGCCATTTTGGGAGCACGAGACTGTAAAGCAGCACGCGTACAAGCCAGTGAACGTTCTCCGCCTAGAAAAGACCCAGTGATCAGGAAGACACTGTTTCAACGAGCCGATTCTTACTGTGCACGCCATCCTACCGCAACATTGAAGTAGCGACCTTGATCGACAGTTACCGTTCACTTTATATAGGTTGAACAGTTCAGAAACTGTTTCACTACACTTCACCGATAAATATAATTGAATCGAGTGAACTCACTCAGCATTACAGTCCTGTGTGATCGATTCGGAGAGTGTTTGTGGATTATAATATGAGTTCTGGATAGAATCGGGTCATATATTTCGCTCGGTGATTCTCCAAACTGACCAAACTGAGTTCTTTCCGATGGGATATTATAAACGTGTAAATTTGTATATGTGAGGCTACGTATTCTGGTTTAATTAGAATATATTTGCTAGGCCATATTTTAAAGTCACATTAATTGAACAGTCACAGTGAAAGGCTATTTGTACTTTGGTTAACTATTGTTGATAATGTTATTTTCCTGAGTAGTCGTGAATAATTTCCCGACATTGTTAGACTATTATTGTTTGACCAATGTATCAATATTTGTGTGTAACCACCAGTTTTCCGGTTCTGAAGACACTAATTAAATGAGCAGATAGATATTACTGTTTTATTGTAAGCGATATCGTGTTATAACAGTAACCGTGTTCGTGTTCTGTAAATGCTAGAACACATACTGGTGAGTAACATTACAAGTGTGCTGGTTATCAGCCAGCACTTGATATTGGCGGAGAGCGCCCTCGTCGGCCAGTTCTCATTTAACTTGACTTTCGTTTATAATGATTTTTAAAAAGTGTTTTTTTTCAATGTTATCATACATAAAAGTTGTAAAGATTGTCCAATACCCACTGTAGTAGTGCATTGTGGGTAGAGTTATACTGTTTGCCGTTATGGATTAAATGTTGTTCGTTCTTCCGAGGTTTGGGGAAGACTGAAACACAACTTTGACAGGTGTGAGTGTGAGTTCATTTCCATAACAATAATCAAAATTTAAAATGTTTTGACCAATAAATTAAAATGTATAATAATTTGATTAAATGTTCACAACAGATTTGAGAGATCTTACTGTCACTGCCATATATTTTTCCGGACTCCAAAACAGCAACATTATCAGCGAAAATCAAACTGCTGGCCGCTTTGCAATGTGTGTTTCGACATCGTCACGTGATTTGTACAAGTTCAATAAAACCAACGTCAACAGAAGACAAATTAACTGGATGGATACGTTGAATATGTAGATGTAATTTCCTTTCAGTTAATATCAAAATTACCCTCCAAAAATGTATGAACTGATGCAATCTCACGTGTCAGTACTGAGTCACTGGTGCCTGGCACGACGCTAAAAAAATTCCGGAGGGGGTCACTTATTGCACTTATTATGTATCGCCTTTGGGGTCGTAATTTTTAGCTATTTGGTCTAGAATCGGGTATAGATTTGCTTGCCTTTTGATTAATTGTCAAGTTTGCCGGTCTAGAATGGGGTCTGTTTTCGGAACAGGGGTGCCCAAGAAATAATCGGTAAAAAACAAACATATCCCAAATACTATTAATCTTTGTTTATGCCCATCAAATAGTGGTTGGCCTCTTTAGTTCACTGATCATTTCCTCAGGCTGGACCTCCTGCAATTTCAGTTTTGTTCTTATTCCCCTTCGATTGATCATTCATTCAGGGTGATAAGTAGATTCAACCTATAACTGAATATATTTAGTGACAATTTGGTTTCTGATGTGTAATACAACATCACTAATTTTGTCTATAATTTTCGAGGTGAAAATGGTATATGATGGGATCTGGGGTTGTACCCCGGGAATAATACGCGCTCTCGACCGAGTGGTGCACCCTAATAAAACTTCGTTGGCAGTGTTGTCTATTTTGATGCCCGAAACAAATGTGGCGGTGACAGTAAATGTCAGTGTGTTATTTGACCTCTTCAGTAAACTGGGTGTTCCGTGATGTAATCTTGTCCAGACCCCCACACTAAGTTATACAAGCCTTAGTGCATGACAATGAGCTCTTCGACCATCCATAGGTGTTGCTCAGCACAGTAGAATAACTATCGATTCTAAAGACTAAATGAACGATCGATGCTAGACCTAAGAATGGACGTGTGTGCGTAGCGAAGACGTGAATAGTTTAAGGGGTTAGCATACGTTTAATGTGTTTTTTTCGATATTTTTTTTTTTATTTTAAATTATTGATTGTTATGACAGTATCTATGACTGTGCTTTTATTCTAAACAAAAACTCCATTTTATAAGGCATATTTCGACGTTTTTTTTATTTCAAAACATTGCCACGTGTTATTGTTTATAAACACCACCAACACAAGCACAACACTCGCTTGAAAGTAATCCTAATTGACACTTGATGAAAGATCCGATTTGCATATCAATACTACAAAGTTTACGTAATTACGGTACTCATTTCGCCCAACCTTCCGCTTTTACACCCACAGCTTATTGCTTGATTTCCGACCGCGCGGTCTTGTCCGACAGGAAACCGACAGCATTGTAATCGCTCATTTTTTTCGCTCGCTCGCTCGCCCATTGAAAACATTGACTGCTCGCCAAAACACTGATCACTGCGTAGTCGAAATGGCGGTTTTTCAAATCTAATAGTTGCATGACACTCAATCGTCAAAGCAACTTAACTGGGACCTCTTGTTACGTGTTTTCGGTTCTAAATGTAATATTTTATTTTAATGAGTTAGTTACGTAAAAAGGGCATACGTAACTTCTTTCGACAGAGCAGAGACACGAGGAAAATGTTAATGATTAATTCCAAAAATAACGATACCAAAACCACGTCGATCCACAGGCGGTCGGTCTGGTATAATTTGACATTTAATTTTCAAAATTAAGTCACGATCAGTGAATGAGCTCGATCTATACGTACCGTAAAAGTGTTCCCACAAAAAATATTTTGACTAAAACGGCCACATGCTCTGAAAAAATAGAACAGAGCTTGACATAAATGAATAATTCAGAAAAAAAACGTGTCAAATTTAGTTATAGCCATAAATATTTGGTGGCCAGACGATGAACAATTCGAAAATCAGAATTCACGCGGAAGTCCTTCAGGGCTGAAAATCATCGACCCTGCTCTGGGTTACTTTATTTCACGACTAACAAAGAAAACTGATTCGCCGTGGACTCAGCTTACTTTTTCTTCTTTCTGAACTGAGGTCAAATCCCCTCCGTTAGTCAAAATATACCGATGTTTTTCAGTGAATAATTTTGAAGCCTGTCACAGAACAAAAAAAGCTAGGTGAATCGAAGCCGGAGATTAGACGGTACGACGACCCTTCAATTAGCGTCAAATATGCTTTGTTACAACATCATTGATTTGCTGAAAGTCACCTGATCGGAGCACGACCTGGGTCACAGAACCATATTTGTCCGTATTATCAACAGGATTT